AATAATGGCTAATATCAGCCCAAATGGAGTGAATTTCGGGACGTACGTTCCCATATTGTGCAAATCGGCTTCGATATATATATTTTTATACCCTCCACCTTGGTAAGGAGGGTATATTAAAATTGTCATTCCGTTTGTAACATCCTTAAATATTCGTCGTAGACCCCATAAAGTATATATATATTCATAATCAGCATAAAATTCTAAGTCGATTTAACGATGTCCGTCCGTCTGTCTTTCCGTCTGTCTGTCTGTCTGTTGAAATCACGATACAGCCCACATTATTTGACGTAGAGCGCCAAAATTTAGCAGAGCAATTTGTATTGTGTCTCGGATACCTCCCGATATTCGGCATTTTGTTGATTTTAGCGACATTATTTAACGGAATCGTTCCAAATTTGGTATTTGAAGTTCGTAATGGATACTTCAGCCCATGCCAGAAAATTGTCTGTGCAGGTCCACGTCTTCGTATAGCCCCCATATAACGGTACCCCCCATATTCGGTATTTTGATGATTTTAGCTACATTATTAACAGATTTTTCTTCAAGTTTCGCATTTAAATATTGTAATAACTTATGACAAAAGTTGCCTATGCAGGTCCATGTCGTCGTATAAGCACTCGGTATTTTTAAGATTTTAACAGAATTTTTAACGGATTTTATTTTTCTTTTTTTTTGGAAATTGCCAAATTTGTACCAAATGGTGGAGAGTATTAACAGTTCGGCCCGGCCGAACTTTCTGCTTTTTTACTTGTTAATATTGTAAAGAGCTTAGCAACATTTTCCATTCAAATATGCTGTAGTTTCGAATTTGTATTTCCATCATTTGAAATAACGTGCTGCGTGGTATTTAGTTTTATACACCTCATAATTGAGGGCAGAATGATTTCAGAGTAGTCAAAGATAATTACTCTTTACCACCCATTACCGTAAGATGGGAATCAATTTTTTTTGTCATTTAAATTGTGCGTTGGAGACCCCATAAAGCCCATATTTATCATCATAAATAATGAATGAGTCCAGTTTGACATTTCGGATTTTATTTCATATAGACGTACATCCGAAATCAACGTTCCTTACCAATATTCTCTTGAGGGTTACTTAAATAAATCCCTATGTGGACAATTATCTGTAAGACAGATCTCTACCACAGGGTGGCCTAAATACATTTTTTTGGCCAAATCAATTGATAAATGTGCTCAAGAGGGATTTTTTACCCCCTTAGACCCAAAGATGCCAAATAAAGGCCAAAAATCCTATAAAAGTGGCCAAAACCCCGCAAAAAATCTTAAATCATATGATGGTTTTACCAAAACCTGATCAGTTTTTGCAAATAACCAACGTTTGCCGAAATAAGTATGAAAAATATGGTTAAAATGTATAATATACTTGAAATTGGGCTGTACCCTTATCCGAGAGGTTATGACCCATACCATGATCTGCATTTAAGGTAGAAATATTCTTCTTACTAAATGTCCAATTCGCTCCACTATGTTGCGCCCTTTATATTCGGTATTTCGCTAATTGCAATCCCAATGAATTTTGCATTTTGAGTTCTCATTGGACGAATTATTGTCATGCGAAAGAAGTAGGTCCACATTTTGAAATGAGCCCCATCGTAACACTTTGTCGGTCATTTTGGTTTGTTTAAATGTGTTCGCATCTTCCAGCTGAAGCACGATGTAGGCTCTGGAGTTGAAAGCTAGATGCCAATTTTAGACATGAAAGATAACCATTTAATATCGTAATACAAACTCATTTAATTTTTATATTTTTTATATTCAAAACGATAAAAAATGTTCAGTTCAATAAGTACGTCAAATTGAAAAAAAATCACGTCAAAAAGATTTTTTCATTAAAATTGTTAATCGCATATCTTTACGCAGTTTTTTTTTGTCCAAGTTACCATTCAGAAATTGTATGAATTGTAGAAAACCATTTTGTTTCTTTTCCGACAGAAAATAAAAACAAATTAAAAACAGGTAAAAAAAGCAGTAAGTTAGGCCAGACCGAGCTTTTAATACGCTCCACCATTTGGAACGAATTAGAAAAATTTCAAAAAAATAAAATCCATTAAAAATTCAGTTAAAATCTTTAAAATACCTAATATCGGAAGGTGCCGATATATGGGGGGATATACGATATTGTGGACCTATATAGGAGGGTACCGTTATATGGGGACTATATGATATTGCGGACCTATAGAGATAATTCTCTTCCAAGGGATAAACTACTCACAAGGAACTCCTTGTGTGGATTTTCAGACGATTCTGTTAAAAAATGTGGCTAAAATCATCAAAATACGGAATATCGGGGGGTACTGTTATATGGGGGATATACGATATCGTGGACCTATAGAGATAATTCTCTTCCAGGGGAAAAATTACTCACAAGGAACTCCTTGTGTGGATTTTCAGACGATTCTGTTAAAAAATGTGGCTAAAATCACCAAAATACCGAATATCGGGGGGTACTGTTATTTGGGGGATATACGATATCGTGAACCTATATAGACAATTCACTTTCAGGGGTTTCCTTGTGTGGAATTTCAGACAATTCCGTTGGAAAATGTGGCTAAAATCACCAAAATACCGAATATCGGGGGGTACCGTTATATGGGGTCTGTACGATATCGTGGACCTATATAGATAATTCTCCTCCAAAGGATAAAGTACTCACAAGGAACTCCTTGTGTTGATTTTCAGACTATTCTGTTGAAAAATGTGGCTAAAATCATCAAAATACCGAATATCGGGAGTACCGTTATATGGGGGCTATACGATATCGTGGACCTATATTGATAATTCTTCTCCGAAGGATAAAGTACTCACAAGGGACTCCTTGTGTGGAATTTCAGACAATTCCGTTAAAAAATGTGGCTGAAATCATCAAAATACCGAATATCGGGAATACCGTTATATGGGGCCTATACAATATCGTAAACCGATATAGTCCATCTTCGAACTTGACCTGCCTGCAGACAAAAGGGAGATTTTTGCAAAATTTTATCTTAATTCGTTTTGACTGTAGCGTGATTACAACAGACGAACGGACAGGGCTAAATCGTCTTAGAATTTTACGCTGATCAAGAATGTGTATACTTTGTTGGGTCTAAAATGATTATTTCGATGAGTTACAAATGTAATGACGAACTTAATATACCCTCCATACTATATTTGGTGGAGGGTATAAAAATGAAGACTATGAAAGGGCCTTCCCTGCCCTTAAACCTTTTGAAAAAAATTTGCAAGTATAGAGGTCTACCTGTTTGGTTTGTAGCGTCAGAATTGCTATCAAAACAATCAAAAAAGTTCGTTCAAGTTCGAAGATGGGCTGGGATCGGTCCACTATATCGTATAGCCCCCATATAACGGTACCCCCCGATATTCGGTATTTTGATGATGTTAGCAACATTTTTCAACGGAATTGTCTGATAATTCACACAAGGAGTTCGTTGTGGGTACTTTATCCCTTGAAAGAGAATTATCTATATAGGTCCACAATATCGTATGATGATTTTACCCACATTTTTCAACAGAATTGTCTGAAAATCCACACAAGGAATACCTTGTAGGTACTTTATACCTCGGAAGAGAATTATATATATAGGTCGACGATATCGTATAGCCCCTATATAACGATACCCCCGATATTCGGTATTTTGATGATTTTACCCACATTTTTAACGGAATTGTCTAAAAATCCACACAAAAAGTACCTTGTGGGTACTTTATGTCTCGGAAGAGAATTATCTATATAGGTCGACGATATCGTATAGCCCCTATATAACGATACCCCCGATATTCGGTATTTTGATGATTTTACCCACATTTTTAACGGAATTGTCTAAAAATCCACACAAAAAGTACCTTGTGGGTACTTTATACCTCGGAAGAGAATTATGTATATAGGTCCACGATATCGTATAGCCCCCATTTGGTATTTTGATGATTTTACCCAAATTTGTCAACGGAATTGTCTGAAAATCCACACAAGGAATACCTTGTAGGTACTTTATACCTCGGAAGAGAATTATATATATAGGTCGACGATATCGTATAGCCCCTATATAACGATACCCCCGATATTCGGTATTTTGATGATTTTACCCACATTTTTAACGGAATTGTCTAAAAATCCACACAAAAAGTACCTTGTGGGTACTTTATGTCTCGGAAGAGAATTATCTATATAGGTCGACGATATCGTATAGCCCCTATATAACGATACCCCCGATATTCGGTATTTTGATGATTTTACCCACATTATTTTAACGAAATTGTCTAAAAATCCACACAAAAAGTACCATGTGGGTACTTTATGTCTTGGAAGAGAATTATCTATATATGTCCACGATATCGTATAGCCCCCATTTGGTATTTTGATGATTTTACCCACATTTGCCAACCGAATTGTCTGAAAATCCACCCAAGGAATACCTTGTGGGTACTTTATACCTCGGAAGAGAATTATCTATATAGGTCCACGATATCGTATAGCCCCCATAAAACGGTACCCCCCGATATTCGGTATTTTGATTATTTTAGCCACATTTTCAACAGAATTGTCTGATAAACCACACAAGAAGTTCCTTGTGGGTAAATTATCCCTTGGAAGAGAAGGTAGGCTAACTTTGAAAAATTGCATGTATAGAGGTCTACCTGTTTGGCTTGTAATGTCAGAATTACTATCAAAACAATAAAAAAACCAAAGAACTTGTTGCATTTATTTTGAATGAATAATTGAAAACCACGAAAACTGAATGAAGGGTGTTTCTTTCAAAATCATGTTCTATATCTCAAAAGGTTTATTGAGCTTCTAAAACTATAGATTTTGTCGATGCATACGTGGAAATAAACATTTTGAAAATGTCACCAATCTAATAAAAACTAATTAAAAGTTTATGTGTTTTTACATAAATTATACAGTATTATACCTAAAATTCGATGAATTCAGTTGACCTTTGGAAAATGTTGCAATTGGGTGAATGTGAAAAAATATCAATTTTTGCAACTCTTTTATTTGGTAGATTATAAAATTTGGACATGGCGTGTTTGGGTAATACGGACGTACAAAATATTTTACCATAGTGGAGAAGTTGAAAAATTGTATACGCTACGTCGAATTTTAGGTTACGCAGTTATGTATATTGATTTAATATCCAAAAATTTAATTTTTATTGTACAAAAAGGGGTTACACTGATTCCGTAATGTACCAATAATAAAGTTAATACAACAAAATTATTCTTGTTTTATGAGTTTTCGGTTTTAAAAATTACGGCATATTCGCTGTTCCAGTCTCTTTCAAAGACACTCAAAAGATCGCTTCGAATTGTTTGTGTGTTATTTGCCTCAGATGGATCATCCTGTAGTACCAGTCCGACTCCTGCCGTATTGGTAAAATAATCTCCCGACCAATTGGACGTTCCAATGTATGCAACATTATCAGTAACCATATATTTGTTGTGATTTACCCGTCCAAATGGTATTTTGGCTTCATTCTCATCCGACGGTACGATAAAACGCTTAATTTGAATGTCAACATGCGGCATGGCTTGAGATAGAGATTGCAAAGATCTCAAAAAATTGTCTTCAGATGGGTTCGAGTGCTTCCACCAAGAGATAAGAAGTTTGATTTTAATTTTGCGGTCTATGGCTGCCGAGCGAAGTGCATCATCAATAACGGGCCAATAGGTTTTATCTTTCGAGTAAATCATCATGGGAATATAATCCATCACAGCAATATTTACAAATTCCTTGGCGGAAGATATGACTTGCAATATTGACGAAACATCGTCCACCCGACCCCTGGCTGTAAGTGGTGGCGGAGAACTTGAGAGTAAAGCTAGTTGTTTGTATTTGTTGTTGATTAACAAGTGCATTGGGTGTTCAAAATTAAATTTCGTTGAGTATTCCGAAGGCCATTGTTTTGGTATGGTAGATGTATTGGTACTGATCAGCCAATATTCTTCAAATATTTTTTCCAAATCTTTAGCCAACGTTGGGCAATCCAATGCCAACACACCCAGTTCTTTCACCTGCGTTAGAGATCTCCAGTCCATATTAGCACTTCCCAAATAAAAATGCCTGTGATCAGAAATCCAAAATTTAGTATGCAATACTCCGCCGCCCAGCAAACGGGTAAAATTTAGGGAGCGAACCTCGGCAGCCCCACTTTCCTGTAGAATCTTAGTATCGTTGTCCGGTTCCATATCAGACGGAGCGCTTTGTGCAATACGAATTTTAATTTTACCCACCTTTCCCAAATCCATTAGACTATGAAATATATCCTCTCCTTGCGCAGCGGAAGGATCATTTATAACATCCGAACCCAGCAGAGTCCAGTAAAAGGAACCAATATTCAGGGCCGAGTCGGTTGAATTCAAAAGAATTTTCCATGAGTCATAAGTCGACAAAAATTTGGGGCTATTAGGTGAAAACGTTAAATGTTCCGGAATACTTTCTACAAGTTGGAGATGGCAACGATCATCGGCGTCAGTATAGCTATCCAGAGCTTCCAAACGAAGAATTTCCCTCAGATGTTGTTGGAATATAAAAACCACTGTGATTGCCGTTAAAATAAAAACCAATGCGTACAATAAGTGTTCCGACTTTGATTTTCTGCGAATATTCTGGGATGGCAAAACTCTTTCTGGCAAAGGACATTCAACCGTTATTTTTTTATAAGGATTGTTTCTTGCATCTCCGTTTATAGAATTCATTTTATCATTTACCTGGAACATAGAAAAAACAACTGATGATGACAAACTGAAAATTCTATATAGAGATTTATAGAACACAACTTTGAAAAGAATTTTTCACCTTTTATTCATTTTTTTGCGGTTTTCAATTATTTTTTCGAAATCAATGCAACATGTTGTTTGGGTTTTTGATGGTTTTGATAGTAATTCTGACACTACAAACCAAACAGGTAGACCTCTATACTTGCTATTTTTCAAAGCTAGCCTACGCAGTCTTCATTGTGCCATGCTCACTGCTACCAAACTATTTTATCTTTGTTTTATTTGCCAGGCTTAACATGTTAACCAAGGTGTATTTATAAGGTGTATGCATCAGCTACAACGACTAACTTTTCACAAGAATAACATTGTTGTTATATAAACTAGAAATTCATTTTGACAATTAGTTTCAAATTGAAAAATATAAAAAAAAATGTTTGAACAAATCCTGAACATTCACAACACCCATGTATTGTCGGAATCCAAACACTCCTGAACCATTGCAATATTTTGAAAAATTGAAGATATTGTTCAGAAAACTATTCCAAAATGTTTAAGGGCAGGGAAGGCTAACTTTCTTTCATAGTCTTAATTTTTGTGTATAACTTTTCGAACATAAACGATATAGCCACCCGTTCATTGTCATCCAGTAGCCATTTGGCCAAAACTAATTGTGGCAATATTGCCACCAACAACAGGAAGTCAAATTCCTGCACTACGACATCAGTGGCAAATGCTTATTATCTAATCAAAATAACATTATTTTAAAAAAATCAAAATTCAAACTTAAATAAAAAAGTAAAAAAATTGATTTGACAACTTAATTCACAGACAAAAATAAACAAGTTGAAAACCATATGATCTTATTAAATACGCCTTGACGTCAACATTAATTTTGTATGTATTTGTATTATTTTCAATAATATGAAACTTGTTTGAAAACATTCATATTTAGTTGTAATTATGGTACAATGAAGAGAAGATTTGCTAACTTTGAAAAAATTGCATGTATAGAGGTCTACCTGTTTGGCTTGTAATGTCAGAATTAATACCAAAACAATTAAAAAACCAAACAACTTGTTGCATTTATTTTGAATAAATCATTGAAAACCGCGAAAACTGAATGAAGGGTGATTTTTTTTTTTTTTTTTCAAAATCATGTTCTATATGTATCAAAAGGTTTATTGCGCTTTTAAAACTATAGATTTTGTCGATGCATACGTGGAAATAAACATTTTGAAAACACCTGAGTTTGAATATTTTCTGAACAATTTTTTTTATTGAAAAGAAAACACACACAACAAATAAAGTTGACATATTAAGCCAAGAAAATAAAAAAATTAAAATCATATGGTATCATAATCCTACCTTTATTGTACCATGGTTGTAATCACAATGTAATAACGTGAGTATGTACATAACTAAAGCTGCAAGCACATAAAGAGCTTTTTACTGGCTTAAGTCATCGGCGGCATCTTCGTAAAAGAGCAAGGAAGTTTTAGATTGACTTAGTTCAATTTCGGCCTATAATTTATACTTGTTCGCTTTACGCTCCTTTCTCCTTTTACGAAAAAGCCAGCTGATGACTTAAGCTAGTCAAAAATGCGTGTTATGTATTCCCACCTAAAGTTGGAAAAAAAAATGATATACGTCTTGACGTGGCTGCATATAAAATTAAGCTTCCTACAATGGTACCATTAAGTAAAAAGTTGCAAGTGAAGAGACCTACCCATGGCCTACAATCCCACGGCAGCGGGTTCTACGACACCGGATTGACCCGAAACAACAACACTCCAGTTTCGGCCAGCGGCTGCCAACCCAGTGTATACATGTTCGTGTTTGTTTATTTTTCTGTTTTGGGAGCAGCACATCCCGGAATGCTTGCTCCGGATTCTTTTGGTTCGTGCCGGGCTTGAACCGGACCATGGTTCTGTACGGTTTGCCAAAACACTATCCACCATAGATCAGTCTCGGTGCGATGTAATGGATGCAGAGGATGGGTGCATTTTAGAAATTGTTCCGGTTTAACCCGGTTGCGAGACTATAGCGATAGAGACTATGTTGCCAATTTCGCTTTTGTCGCCAGTAGCAAAGACTCTCGAGGCCTTACTCCTCCCCAGTATCAGAGGAAGCTATTCAGTTGCTAACCATCAACACGGTTTCCGTCCACTACATAGCACTACAACAGCATATCCACACATATCAGTCGAGGACTCAACCAGAACAGGCCGTGCCACAGAACAGTAGTGGTGGCTCTCGACCTATCAAAGGCCTTTGATACGGTCAACCATGCCACGCTGTTCGAGGACGTTGAGAACACTACCCTCCGGCCAAGTTTGAAACGTTGGATAGTCAACTATATGTGTGGACGCCAGTCGTACGTGGAATTCCGAAATAAGAAGTCCAAGCCTCGTAGAGTGAAACAGGGAGTTCCCCAAGGTGGGGTGATATCTCCGGAACTGTTTAACCTCTACCTTTCCGGAATTCCGCGCCGTCCAGACGGCATCGAGATCGTAACTTATGCGGATGATTGTACGATCATGGCGTCGGGTCCTGTAGTTGATGACATATGTGTCAGGGTGAATAATTATCTCGCGGAGCTTGCCGCCTTCTTCCACGCGATAGGTCGGTCTGTGGTTAGCTATGCGGCTCCAGTGTGGTCGGCGAATACAAGTGCAACGCAGTGGAAATGTATTCAGACCTGCCAGAATGCCGCCCTGAGAACTGCAACAGGGTGCCTCCTCATAACGCCTGTGGACCACTTACATGAGGAGACGAAGGTTCTTCCCTTACGTCAGCATAATCATATGCTTTCGTTGCAGTACCTGCTTGGGTGTTATCGCGGGAGTCACCCTAACCACCATATGGTGGATAGAACTCCCCCACCCAGGCGTGTCAGGAAGGACCTGCACGAACTAGAGAGAGAGGTCCAGCGATATAAGAGAGAGCCTCTAGATCATGAAGCCTATCAAGCGGGTCTGAATAGCATTCATACTTATCAGTCGCAGAGGTAGTCAATAATTACAGTATGAATGTCATACTCGGAGTCCACCCCCCATCCATTGCAGCTGAAGAACGTCGGCTGCCTAGGCAAACCAGGGTAGTTTTGGCCCAACTACGTTCAGGATGGTGCAGCCGTCTCAATTCCATTGCAGCTGAAGAACTTCGGCTGCCTAGGCAAACCAGGGTAGTTTTGGCCCAACTACGTTCAGGATGGTGCAGCCGTCTCAATTCGTATTGGGCACGAATTGATGAGAATGTGCGGAACGCCTGCCCAGCGTGCGATACAGGCCCGCACAACACGCTGCATTTGTTTAATTGTCCTGCCAAACCTACCCAACTCCGTCCAGAGGATCTATGGCTACAGCCCATAAAGGTAGCAGAATTCCTAAACCTGGACATTGAGGAAGAACCGGATTAGTCGAAAAAAAAAAAAACAACAGAACGTGTAAAACTGCTACAACAACAACAACCCATGGCCTATTTAAGGTCGGCCAGTAAGCCCATCTGACAACTAAGTTTGCTGTCAAAAAAAACATATGTTGTCAAAAGTAGTCTTCTGTATAGATTGTAATGTCAGAATTACTATCCCATATGCGACAACTTGTTGCATTGATTATTTTTTTCTTCTATAAATACGTTGTAATATAGTAGAAATAACAGGTAGCAACATAGTAGCAAATTGCAACAAATTGCAGTAAGAATTTGTTATAATTGTTCTGTTCCAGAACTGCAAGAATCTTAAAGATTTGATTACGATAACCGATTTCCCCTTTATGATAAGGAAGAATATTGAAAAACAAGTAGATTCCCATTAGCCCAAGGGACAATGATGACAAGGTAGGCTGACTTGGAAAAAGTTGCAAGTGTTTTTTTAAAATAATATTATTTTGATTAGATAATAAGCATTTGCCACTGATGTCGTAGTGCAGGAATTTGACTTCCTGTTGTTGGTGGCAATATTGCCACAATTAGTTTTGGCCAAATGGCTACATAGACAAATGAAAATATAGACAACGAAAAGTTAGTTTTGTCTTTTTTTCCAGGTGGCTCTCATCATGTTTTGCATAGTCAACATGCTGATTTACGCGTTCAAGCCACTCGACTTCGAAAACACATTTTATCGTTTTTCAAGAATTTCACTGGAATATTCCTATATTTTTCGATGTCATCACGTTCTTTTCATATTTCTTTTATTATGAAATAATTTTCAACTGGCAAATATCCTACAGTTTTTGTTATTTTTAACGTTTTAGAATTGAGTGACTTCAATATTCCCACTCAAACCCCTGAAACGATATGAACGACATCTGCTGATTCGATTTTTTTCGAAGATAAACGGTGAGAGCATTTCGTTGTCTATATTTTCATTTGTCTATGATGGCTACTGGATGACAATGAACGGGTGGCTATATCGTTTATGTTCGAAAAGTTATACACAAAAATTAAGACTATGAAAGAAAGTTAGCCTTCCCTACCCTTAAACCTTTTGAAATAGTGTTCTGAACAATATATTCAATTGTTCAAAATATTGCAATGGTTGAGGAGAGTTTGGATTCCGACAATACATGAGTGTTAAAAATGTTCAGCATTTGTTCGAAACATTTTTTTTATATTTTTCAATTTGAAACTAATTGTCAAAATGACTTTCTAGTTTATATAACAACAATGTTATTCTTATGAAAAGTTACTTGTTGTAGCTGATGCATACACCTTATAAATACACCTTGGTTGACATGTTAAGCCTGGAAAATAAAAGTTAAAATAGTTTGGTAGCAATGACCATGGTACAATGAAGACTAGGTAGGCTAACTTTGAAAAATTTGCAAGTATAGAAGTTTGGTTTGTAGTGTCGGAATTACTATCATAACAATCAAAAAACCAAACAACTTGTTGCATTAGTTGTGTTCCAGTACTTTTTTAGTAGTAAAACTAGCAGAAGAGAGAACAGTTCGAAATGTCATTCTCATTTAGGTTTGCTCAAAAAATAAGGGAACGGAAAATTAGCAGAAATGCGATAAAATGTCAAAATCAAAAGTAAACAGCCTAAATCGGACTGGTGAAACCTTAGTGAAAAGAGCGCCAACATTTAAAAAATGAGTATTGAAGACGATAAGTTAAAATGAATAATTTATAATAATAATTAATAATCTGATTCCTCATTCAGCCAGTCCTCTTCACTGCTGGAATCATCCAAAAGTGAATACATCAGTTGCTCCATATTTTCTCTTTTTGTTTTTTGCACGACAAATATTAGTTTTTCCTTTAGTTTTCAAGTTGATCATTTTCTTTATTGAAATGTATCAATACATTTTTCAACCTTGTTAGCCCTGCCAATTAAATGTCAAATTTACAATATGCACATTTCTGCTCGGCCAAATTCATGTAGCTAAAACAAGCAGAAATGTGCACCACTCAGCGCCATTTTTTTCTCGAGAGAGATGCAAGTTTTGCTAGTTTTTGAGTACGGGAACGCGTTGTAGCAGAATTAGTGCTAATTAGTACTAATTTGCAGGTTCTGGAACACAACTATTGATTTTGAATAAATAATTGAAAACTGCAAAAAATGAATGAAAGGTGAAAATTTATTTTCAAAATTGTGTTCTATGTATCTCTAAATGTTTATTTCGCTACAAAAGCTGTAGATTTTGTCGATGCGTACGTCGAAATAAGCCTTTTAAAAACACCCGAATTCGAATATTTTCTGAACATATTTTTATTATTGTAAATTATACACACACATAAACAAATAAATAAACACCATATGATTTAAATTTTTTTTTTTGGCTTAATATGTCAAAGCCAAATCATATGGTATCATAGCCCTACCTTGACTTTATTGTACCATGGCAGAAGAATACAGGTAGATGCATCAACGCTTGGGAGCATTAATGTGTCAAAAAATTTAAATGTTTTTTTTTTTCAAATATAAGTAGATTTTTATATGTTTCCTTATACCAAGTCAGTCGGAGGCTATTAAAATTCGCGTTTTCAAAAATTTTTATATATTTAAATAATTTTTTATTCAACATTTTCAATTCCAAAATTAGTTTGACAGTAAATTGTCCCAGCAGCTGTGTCGACGCGTCTACCTATATTCTTCTACCATGGGTAATGCTTATGGCACAATTACATAGGGTAGAACAAAGCTACCTCCTAAATACATTTTTTTCTTTTGCTGCCCTTAAGGGCTAAGTACATAAGAAGCTTGAAGTCATGGCACGGCCTATTTTGTGACATTTCACAAAGGAATTACAGAGCCGCACTGAAATCCTGCCGTCGTTTTTCGTTATAATTTAGCATTAATATGCCTAGCCATGACTTCAAGCTTTTTATGTATTTGCAGCCTTACTCTGTCAAGACATGGCAGAAGAATACAGGTAGATGCATCAACGCTTGGAAGCCTTAATATGTCAAAAATTTTTAAATGTTTTTTTTTTTTTTTCAAATATAAGTGGATTTTTATATGTTTTCTTATACTACGTCATTCGGAGGCTATTATAATTCGCGATTTTCAACAATTTTACAAATTTAAATAATTTTTCATTTAACATTTTCAATTCCAAAATTGGTTTGACAGTTTATTGTCCCAGAAGCTGTGTCGACGCGTCTACCTATATTCTTCTACAATGCTGTCAAAACATATATACAATTTGTGTATGTGTTTGCATTGTTTTGAATAAAAAAACAAACAATTTGAGATTATTTCAAATTCAGATGCATACTAAATGCATATTTTCGACGTTATTGTACGTTTTTCATGTTTTGCGGTTTTTGCCCAATATAAAAATTTTGTTAAAAATGTAAAATAAACAGAAAATTGTTGCTTATTTAAGTCTATTTGACACTATAAGACTCCGATACAGAGTTGTATTTTTCCTAGTTTCTTGAAGTTGATCAACCTTTCTGGTTGAACCATGGCAGGGTCCTACCTTGATTTCATTGTACCATGATATAACCCAAATACAGTACCGTTATTTTATAATATTTTAATGACTTTACAGGTGTGGTTTAAGTCATAGGCTGGTTTTTTCGTAAACAATTAAGAATTATTTGATTGAATTAGTTCAATTCCGGTCCATAATTTAAATTATGTACTTCTAATTATTTTTTTCCGAAGAAACCAGTCGATGCTTTTTTTAAACGCTTTTAAATCTACATTAAGGAAACAAGGCACACATCTAAACATGATTTTATGTTACTGTTTAACAATGGTAGAAGAATATAGGTAGGTGCATCAACGCTTGGGAACATTGATATGTCAAAATTTTTTAAATGTTTTATCAAAAATAAATATATTTTTAAATGTTTTCTTATACGAGGAAAATCGATGGTTTGCATAATATGAAATTTTCAACAATTTTTACATATTTCAATAATGTTCATTCAACATTTTCAATTCTAAAATCGGGTTAACAGTTCATTGTCCCATCAGCTGTGTCGATGCGACTACCTGTATTCTTCTACCATGTGTTCAACTGGGTACATAAATTTTATGGAAACATGGCGAATTTGCTGTCCACTCAAACGAGCAGAGGCGATTACAAAATATCGATAATTCGATTTCGAACCGTATGTCCCTATCATGTATAGGAATATTAGCAAAGAAGAAACACTCGCAGACAGAGTGCATTTCATCAACAAAAACAACAACAATAGCGGATAGAATTTCGCAAAACTTTTCTCAACTTAAGAATTTTTGTTAATAAAAAGGTAAATAAGTGAAAAAAAATCTGCAGCCTAAATAAAAAGAAAAATTGAGTAGTGCATATACATACCGTCTTTAGATGGAGTTACGGATTTGTGAAACAATTATTTGGTGGTGGCAAGGTGTTGTTTTTCTCGTGCACTTTTGATGGACTGTATTTTATTTCTGATATTCTTTCAATTCCTACTCTTCTGTGTGTCGCTATTTCTTTATATGCAAAAAATATGGAATGTTGCCAGATTTTGGTTTATTAATGAATAGATTGGTGAGAAATATGCTCTTCTCAATTAGATTAGAAGAGTTTTATTGCGGCAGTTTTTGTCGTTCTCTTTTGAATTTGTATTTAAGCAAGAAAATTCGCAAATTTACCAATTTTCTTTCGTCATTATTGCCTTTACAAACTTATCAATTATCTTTCCTGGATCCAGATAAATGAGTCTTTAAACATGGACAACCCGACAGAGTAAATCTCTTAATAAAAGTATTTAATTTAGGGATCTTTGGAGGAACAAATTGAGGCTTAACTTTATTTTAGTAAAAACTTTTCAATTTTTTTTAATTTTTTTCCAGTAGGAGGTATTTTTACCCTGATCCCGGGAAACAATTTTTTTCTTCGGGGACGGACCTGGGACCCCCAGATTTTTGACCCCGGCTGGACCTCGAGGTGTTTTGAATATTTGTCTGTTCATTGAGTTTCTGGTTGCGGGTTATTTTTTGTTATTTCTTTTTAGTTATTGGCTGGGGCTATTTTTATGGTTGTTTATTTTCCATAGAGTAATTTTGTTGTTATTTCTCTTTTTTATGGATTTTTCATACGCTTGTAGCTTGTAGCAACTTTTCGCTCGGTTGGAAACTAGTGATGGTTAGCGCCTAAATGTATTGATGTCTCTTGCCTTGCTTAACTGTTGTTCAGCTTGGTGTGGAAGTCCTCCAAAGATGTGTCTAAGGGTCTAATTATTGTTATTTAATTTTTTATATAAAAATATAGTAAAATTCGCCGTTAGTTTTCGTTATATATTTAGATTTTTTTAGATTGATTTATTTTTAGGCTGTTTTTATGTTGTATGCTAATATAAGATTTTAGCCATGTTGGCTTATTTATATTGAACTAGCTGAACCCAGTGTGCTTCGCTACCCCTTTTGATTAATATGCAATCGAAATTTTATTTACAAATATTTTTGTTGTTTTTAAATAAAAATAAAACAAATTAAAGAAAAAAAAAACTAATTAACAAACGCTTTTTAAAAAAAAAATAAATAAATAAAATAAAAATGGAATTAACCCAAACTATTTTGCAAAAACAAAAAACGTATTTATAGTGATGCTTTTGTTATTTCCTTCAGAAGCGAAATCAAAAAAATCGCTCGGTCTAGTAACGCGTGAATATACCAGATACAGCTGACCATATGAAAGGCAGGAACGTGCCAAATTTAGTACGCATACTCGAAGTGTTTGTCCTTGGGATTTATATTGTTATACCAATATTCAATATATTAAAATAGAACGGCTTTTCTGTTGATATAGAGGGTTTCGAAGGAGCAATACAACTATGTTTCCTAATAAAATAATGTCCAAATGTGAACAGATTTTAATATAATTTAACAAAAATTTATTTTTAGACCAATTTTTGCCAAATTCCATCACTGATTACTAATTTCCTTGGCATCGGACATACATATCGTGTTTAGTGCTCAAATGTCAGAAATGGGCCGAAAAATATATGGGAGCTACATTCAAACCTGAGCCGATTTCAATATGATTTGGCAGATTTATTTTTGTACCAAACTCCGTCACTGATTGCGAGTTTCATTGCCATCGGACATACATTTCGTTTTTGGAGCATTAAATAAATGAAATCAGCGTAAAAAATTTATGGGAGCTATATTGAAATCTGAACCGATTTCAATATAATTCAGCAAATAAATTTTTGGACCAAATTCCATCACACATTCAAAATTTCATTGAAATTAAAGGTACATATCGTTTTTGATATATCAAACACATGAAATGTATATGGGAGCTATATACAAATCTGAACCGATTTCAATATGATTCGGGAAAATAATTTTAGTACCAATTCCGTCACACATTCTAAATTTAAAAGCTGTATCTATAACCGATCAGAAGATATGTGCATACAAAGTTCAAATTATTTGAAGGTACCTCCGATTCTGATGCTATATCTCCAGCCTACTGGCTGAACCCGACGCGTTTCGCTACTCTATCCTCTCTTATATACATTCAACTTGTTATGTATTTTGTGGTTCTTAAAAAAACAAATTCATGGATTGAACAAGATCAGCCGGGTCAAACTTTTAATACCCTCCACCGTAGGGTAAAAGAAACATTGGAGCTCATTATGACCCATAAATACAAATTTTTAGACATATTCATGGGAAAATGTGCCTAAAATCATCAATATAACGAATATCGGGCTATATACAATAACGCGGACCTATACATGCATGGAGCTAGAACCCAAAATGATCTACAAAAACCAATTCTCAGACAAATCCGTAAACACATTTGGTAAAAATCATTAAAAAATACCGAATATATATATATATATATATATATATATATATATATATATATATATATATATATATATATATATATATATATATATATATATATTATATATATATATATACATATATATATATATATATACAGCCGATGGTGGCTCTCCGCTCGTATTAATCGACCGTGGCATCAGAATAAATGCAGAATATTATTCTGGAGGGTCTTGGGCACGTAAACATTTTGACCGCAGACCATGGGCATTCCAACAGGACTCAAAATGAGGTTCCTCGCTTCTTTTCCAGCGCACAATGGTCACCAAAATCTCCGGATACCAATCCAAAGGACTATTGTGCCTGGAGTATTTTTTTTTAATTGGAAAGCAAGGTTGGCACTCCTCACGCAAGCGTTTCGCCCGCAATGGATTAAAATACCGCATAGTAACATTCGGGCAGCGTGTGATGGCTTCATTGGCGGTTTGAAGGCCATTATTCGTGCCAACGGTGAACAATTCGAACAAAACTAAACTTATTCTAAAATCTGATGCTTTTTCCTACATTTTTTGCTTTCATTCAACAAAAAAAAAAAAAAAATATGTATATATATATACTGTAAACACAGATCTCATCATTTACAGTGAACAAAAAATACCTATGGCAATGCCCTAATGGCTGCGTTGATATTTTTTGAAGTATCGATTTGTGGCAAATTGGGTCAAAACTAAATTACGAACATTTAAATGTGCATTGCTGTTGCACGTACACACACACGTACGCACACACACGTACGCGAAGAAACATTACTAAGTTAAAGCAATTTAAAATGATGACACTTTCTACAGAGCGGAATATCCACTCTGCCGCTGGCCATTTTCATGCATTCTTCCACTACGTTGTGTATTTAGGAACAATTGCCTTAGCCACTTTTGCTTTTCTTTTCTTGTAATTACATGATAGCAAGCCATGTTAAGGGAACCAATGCAGCTGATTAATTTATATCGACCTATATACATAATATGGCGAACAATTCTTGAAAATGAAAACACATCAATTGCATACATTTTTCATCCTCCACCATAGTATTAAGTTTGTTATTCCGTTTATAATACCGCGAAATATACATTTTAGACCCCACAAAGTTTATATATTCTTGATCAGCATAAAATTTGCGATGTCCCTCCGTCTATCCGCCTTTAGAAATCACTCTAGTTTTCAAACGAATTGAAGTAGGTATTGAAAATAAGCCATGTAGGTCCACGTTTTGGTATAGGGCCCATATAACGGTATTATTCAATATATTTATGGAACTGTTCATGGAATTGTTTCAAATTTGGTATTTGAAGTTCGAAACGGATACTACAGCCTAAGATAGAAAATTGTCTGTGCAGGTCCACGCCTTCGTATAGCCCATATAACGGTACCTCCCGATATTCGATTTTTTGATGATTTTAGCGACAATATTCACCGGAATTGTTTCAAATTTGGTTTTTGAAGTTCGTAATGGATGCTACAGCCTAAGACAGGAAATTGTCTGTGCAGGTCCACGTCTTCGTATAGCCCCCATATAACGGTACCTCCCGATTTTCGGTGGAGGGTACTCAAAGTTCGGCCCGGCCGAACTTAAAGCTTTTTTACTTGTTTTTATAAATGTTGGACTATATGGTATAGGGTTCTAAAATTCTACATTGAAACAATGGTCAAATTTGTTGGTAATGCTGAATATACTTTCAAAAATGGCATCCCAAGTATATTTCTTGGCTGGAAAAGTAAGTGGTGACAACCCTTCTATGTTTGGAATTTATCATTCAAAAAGGGTATGCCTGGTTACCTTTCTTGCCGGAATTGTCAAGCAACTTCTTTCTGAGACAAGTTTCTCTCCAGCAAAAATAAAAAAGTGTCAACATTTACAGAAAAGGGTCAAAACATGAATGAATATTGTAAAATATTGGTAAAATAGCTCTTTAGAGGAAAAAGAATTATGTTACAATGAATTAGGAATCGTGCCGTATGAACGGGTTAATTGGTGTACCTAATTCTGGCATGGTAGAAGAATATAGGTAGACGCATCGACACAGCTGCTGGAACAATGAACTGTGAAACCAATTTTGGAATCGAAAATGTTATTTAAATTTATAAAAATTGTTCAAAAACCCGTATTATAATAACCTCTGAATGACGTCGTATAAGAAAACATATAAAAATCAATTTATATTTGAGAAGACATTTAAAATTTTTTGACAAATCAATGTTCCCAAGCGTTGATGCATCTACCTTTATTCTTCTACTATGTAATTTTGAGAGCGGCCAACATGATTGAAATTGCAATGAGAATATTGCATAACGTTTTCGTTTAGATTGTTTTAGATATAGAATCGTTTATCGAAAATGTTTGCAAAATATTTATTAGAATATCGTGGTGGTAAGAAATGTTTTGTTCAGAAAGCCAAAACTAGATGTCAGTCCTTTAAAATTAAATATAAACCAAATTTTATCGAAAATTATAGCGGACCGACCTATTTAGGAAAAAGTGTGCGACCAAGTGAATTTGATAAAAAAAGTGCATATTTAAGTACATAATGTGTGTTATCTATTTCTCCTCTAGTTTCCCAGAATTTTTTAGTTGAAACCGTTTTATTACTAATATCACTATTTTTGCTAATTGTCATTGCATTAGTGAAATATAATTTTCAGTACAATTTTGTTATTAGTCGTTTGCTTTTCTTTTTTATAAACTTAATAACATTTTGTTCTTATAGCGGAATTCTCTTACATATTTTTTAAGTTGCCGACAAATAACGGTGAAACTAAAATACAAAATAATGAATGAAAATCCAAATTACACTTCACAGTAATGTGGCTAGAGGTAGGACTTAGCAACTACTTTATTTTGGTCGCTAACTTCACCGATTTTTGTTGGTAATTTGTTTGAGAATCACTCGAATGAAATATATTATTTTTTCAAATATAGTCTTCGGACCGTGGTAAAATTAAGAAGGTAAAGTCATGCAATCACATATTTTAATTTTTTTTTTTCAAAATTATTCATTTGACAACATCTTATTGTCAAAGTGGATATTTATAAATCCATTGTACATACACATATCAGAGATAGGAACCTGTTTTGAATGCAGTGAAATTTGACAAGGTAAATTAAAGAAAATGCGGAGATGGGAATGCTTTTTTGAAATGACTTTACCTTCTTAATTTTACCATGCTTCGGACTTTGAAATTACTAATAGATTAAATGGAAAATCTGGTGCTGAAGAGCTTCATGTCTATGATAAATATGCTTTGTTCCAGTACTTGCAAGAATCTACAAATTTTGAGATTTTTGTCGATATCATAAAGGGAAAATCGATCATCATAGTAAAAACTTTTACATTCTTTCAGTAGTGGTATTCTCTATTTCATGCTTATAATTTCGGTAATTAACAAAATATTTTGGTAAGTTAACGACGAAATCAAAGTAGTCGCTAAGACCTACCGATAGATATTTAAGTTTCAACTTTAACTTGTCTTTTATATATAAATTTTGGATTTTAAAGTTACCGATCTTCGTCGGCAATTTAAAAAAATGAGTTAGAGAATCCCACTACATTTCTGGAACGGACGAATAGTTGTTTTCATGCCACAATTACAGTAGAACATATACACAGCTTGTATATGTGTATTGTTTTGAAGAAAAAATAAAAATAATTTGAAATTATTTCAAATTTATTTTCAACAGAAATGCACAATTTCCACGTTACGGGTAACAAAATGTACAATTCCAGGATAATGATATATTCTAAAAACAACAATAATGGTATTATGCCTTACTATTTTGAAACAACAAAATACTCCGGTACTCCGAAAAAAACATGCCAACGCTGTTCGAAAAATTGTGCCCTATCTTGGATGTTCTTTTGTGGAAATGGTCCAATTATCCATTCATATTTTGCGAGTTTCCTCAATATATTAATTTTGTGTACCAGAACTGCAAGAATATAAAATTGTTTACTACGATAACCGATTTTCCCTTTATGATATCGAAGAAAATCGCAACTAGTAGATTCTTGCAGGTACTGGAACAAAGTAAAACAAAACAAATTGTTGCATGTTTAAAAGTCGATGCATTTTTTCCTAGTTTCTTTAAAGTTGAACATCCATTCTTATTGGCCCATTGTTGTAATCAATATAATTAAAATAACAATATTTGACTTTTTTACTCCTTCTACGCAAACTGAAATTCTATTTTGGTTCATAAGTTGTAGTAGGGCTGAGATAAAGTTGACGGGGTTTCAATGAAAACCTTCAACTATGCAATGCATCATAAACCGTTACAGGTGTGACGGTGTATATGTGATTTACTTGCATGTTGGGTCTCCGATGTGGTTGAAGAGGATTTAATTTTTGTTGTTTTCGTCATTGTCGTCGTCTTCATTAAATTTTGCTTTGCTGTTGAAGAGTGTTCCACTAACTACTGGTATTGATTTATTATTGGCTGGTGCGGGTAGCTTTAGTTGTTGTAGACTAAGCGTAGCACACACTTGTAACCACGAGAGGGAAACAATAGAGAAAAAGGGTATGTGTGTTCGTATGTTTTGTGTGACATGTAATGCGGTTCTTTCTTGTTTGAACCACATTTTACGATATGCGTGAACAAGTGGTACTACGTATCCAGCAGTTGAAGAGAGTATAAGCAATATCCAATTGCCGCGGAAATAAATAAATTACAAACATTTTTCAGTGATATTTTTATGAAAATTTGAATATATTTGTATTTTTGTATCTCTTTAGAAAAAAATGGCATCTGGCGGCGTAACATGTGTCAAGTTCTTGACCTTTTTCTGCAATTTACTATTTGCCGTAAGTTTTTATGAAATTTTGTGATGGGTCAATTGATGATGACAAAAATATTTTTAGCTTTCGGGCATACTGATTTTATTGATCGGGGCAATGGTACAATTCAACTATGCTCATTATTCAAATTTCGTCAGTGATCACATATGGACAGCGCCCATTATTTTAATGATAGTCGGATCGTTAGTGGCATTTATTTGTTTCATGGGCTGCTGCGGCGCAATTAAGGAAAACACCTGCATGATCTTGTCGTTTGTTATTTTGGCCGTGGTAGTATTTTTCGTTGAAATTGGTTTGGGTATAGCTGGCTATATCAAACACACTGATCTGAAACAAATAATGGAAAATCAATTCAATGTTACCATGGAGGAGTATAATGACCGTAAGGACTACCGCGATGCATGGACTCTATTGCAAACCGAGGTGTGTTTTTCTTTTTTGAAACATTTGCTCTTGAATTTTTGATTACAATAAATTTTGATTACAGTTGGGTTGCTGTGGAATCAGAGGACCCGCCGATTGGGAGGAAGTTTTTTCCAACAAGACCATACCATCATCGTGTTGTCAAATGATCAATCTTAATGAAGCTGACGCCTGTACGGCTGCCCATGCTAATCCAGATGGATGCTTGCAGAAACTTGTGGATATTTTAGATTCCAAAACTCTATTATTAGCTGGAGTTGTTTTGGGGGTTGCTGGCGTTCAGGTAAATAGAAAATATGTGAAACATTCAAGTATGTGATGAAACCCCTTTAAACATGTTTTGGCATATCCCGTTTTTCCAAAGAATTGCTATGTGTTTTTTACATTTTTTTATTTTTATTCAATTTTTTTTTGGGTAATTGTGGTTTAATTTTCATTTTGCCAAATTCGTCCATCAAAGACCACTAAAATATATCCTATAGTAATCGAATAAATATGGCTATTTTAGTAATGTCAAATTAAAACAAATATCTAGCAAATGACTTAATAAGGACCGGTGTCAACACTTAATAAAAATTGTTCTTTTTGGGGGCCATTTGTGGATAACTAAACATCTAACGTAGCTATATGTTGAACAGATATTGAAATTTCTTAACTTGTAATGGCTCACTAAACTCTTTTCTGGAAACTGTACAGATAAAAAATACACAAAATTTAATTATTTAGGGGTTTAAACTATACATTATTTTTTTCCCGGGATTTCTCTGTATAAATTAGATCTCATAAAGTGATTTTGGAAACGAACCATCACTGACAGGTTTTACTAATAAACCAGCGCACACAGACTTTCCCTGAACAACACAGATTAAATATCATTTCACATTTGTTCTACTTTCAGCTCCTTACCATCCTGTTTGCATGTTGCCTGTACCGTTCGTTTCGGAGAAGCTACCAAACCGTTTGAATTACGTAGCCAAGATCCTTTATGTCGAATATAAAACGGATACAACGATGCACTACAGTTCATCTCTGGCTGAAATACGATTGATAATCACTCGTATCTGTAATTTACCAAACAGGCGACTTTTGGATCTGAACTCGAAGAAATAAAGCAAGAACATAGTAACATAGCATAATCTTTCACATTGCATAATAATGAACAAACGTACTTTTACACACGCCCATCTCTCACGCATTTAATGAAATAGGCTGATCTACGCATGGAATCGTACCTTATGTAGGTAACATACGTATCATTAAGTTGTTTCAAATAATTCAATGTATTAAGCTCTTGGCATTTTATGACATCTTGCCACACATAAACACTAAACTCTCTTTTGCCAATTTCCTAATTGATTTGGAAAACTCAACGTCCACTTCCCTGTGATATTATTTATTATGAATTATCGGTCAACATTTTTTTACATTTTTTTTTTCAACATTAAGCCAAAGACAGGCATTGAATTAATTTATGAACAGTAGTGGGATTCTCTAGACTTTTTGCCGTTACCGACAAGCATTTACAACAATCAGCGAAAAACGTATCAGAAAAATAAAAGCTAATAACATTGTTTTTATGGCTAACATTCGTTAACTAACGATATTATTAACAATTAAAAAATTGCTGTTATCGCTGATTGTTATTGTTGTTAACTAGTTCGAGAATCGCACTACAGATCCTTTATTTTATAGGTCCCTTTGGAATTTATACTCCTGGATTTATTTTTCTTTCTATATATATTATATTATGTTTGGTATCAACGCTATAGGTCCAAATATCTAAATATATAGTCTAAATTATGTTTGTTAAATATGTAGTAATTATTGTTTATGTTATGCCCATCAACATATTTTTGGTACACATATTTTTGTATTTTTTATAAACATTACACATTTTTAAAATTAAAATTCACCAACATAGTCATTCAAGGTCTGTCTTGAAAATTCAATCCTTAAAAGTAAATAGTTCGAGTGAAACATTCCTACAGCCCATGGTAAGATTAAGAAAGTAAAGTCATTTCAAATGAGCATTTCCATCATTGCATTTTTTGTAATGTACTTTGTCAATTTTTTACTACATAGAAAGCAGGTTTCCATCTACATTTGTGTACGTACAATGGATTTATAAATAAATATTTTGACAATAACATGTTGTCAAATGAATAATTTTGAAAAAAAAATTGTAAACATGACTTTACCTTCTTAATTCTATTATGATACAACCCAAAAAAATAACATATATATATATATATATATATATATATATATATATATATATATATATATATATATATATATATAATCAGCATCCATTTCAGACCCATCAGAAATAAGAATAAAACGAAAAAAAAACATTTTCAACTGAGGAAAATTAAAACGAACTTAACGAAATTGAAGATCCACGACAAAAACACATAAGTAGATCTTATTTGAAAAAAAAAATCAATTTTTTTCAATTTCAAATTCGACTTTCTCAATTGCAGAAAGAGAATTGCATAAGTAGGAGAAAAAAAAACAAAATATATATATATGTGAGATCGTATACAATTTTTAAATTAAAAAACATTAATATAAAATAAGCAATATTGTGGAATTTTCGAAAAAGAATTACTATATCTCATAGAATAAGAAAAAGTGTTTTGCATAGAAGCTCAGAATTTTTGATAGTTGAATTTCTTGATATTATTGGAACAAAACAATAGTTCGTCTTTGTGAACAAATTAATATTGCATTTTAAAATTATACTATTTAAAAATATACATTGATACAAATATATATGTGACAAATGATTTTCTTATTTAATATTTATAAATACAGCAATTTTGCAGCACTGAATAAAAGATATTTTATTAAATATTTAAAAGTAACTGCCTTTCATTTGGTAAAACAGTTATAGTAGTAGAGTATTTCTTATTTAAACATTTCACATTCGTTACAATTTTTTTAACAGTATATGTAATATTAAATAAAAAATGGGTATATAATATCAATAAGACAATAGCCTATGGCTGTCTGCAGGTACTGGAACAGAGCAACATTAAATTTGACTCCATAAAATACACAATAACTTTTGCTCTGTTCCAAAACCTACAGGAATCTACTATTCTTGCAATCGGTAATCACAGTTCTGGAGTAGACCATTTTTGTCAATGAAAATTATCATATTTAATTGGGTAAAGGTTTGTATGTAAACGTACTTAACCTAGACCCATGGTATAATAAGTACAACAGCTTAGTAAAACTATCGAAATACAGCCGTAATTTTTCCTAATTTTTAAAATAGCATGATAAATAAATAAAATGCCTGAAATTTCTTTCAAAAATATTATCTTAACAGTTCGATCTTTTAATTCCATGGCAAAACTGGCGAATAGCTTTAATGAGCGTCCCGCAATGTTCGAGAATATTTTGCTTTTATTTTTCAAAACAATAAATACAAACTTAGAAAAATTTGTAATCAGCTCGTTGCTCTACCTTACCATTTTATTCTAATATACTAAGACTAATGTCATGTTTATGTTAGAACTTTTTGCAGGTTTAACCTACTTCAAGAGGATTTATTTGAAGTATAAATAATGTATATGACAATTTTAATCCAAATCCAGTGGATTAACCCGTTTGTACTGTAAGGGCCAATAAACAAGTCGTGTAAACACAGCAAAAAACTACCATTTGGTCCGTTCCGGAACTGCAAGAATGTAAAGTTTTTACTAGGATAACTGATTTTTCCCTTTACGATATCGAAAAGTTATAAAAATTGTAGATTCTTGCAGGTTCTGGAACACAGGAATTATGTTTGAAAAACTGTCAACATTTTTGTTTACGTTTTTTGAAGGTTTCATTCACAATTGTAAGCACTTCTACAATGCGGGTGAAATCCGTGGGTCCTCAAGAATGTAAAAGTTTTTTCCCTTAATAATATCGAGGAAAATTGGAAAACTACTAGATTCTTGCAGGTACTGGAACAGAAAACTAGACTGCAACCACAGTAGCATTCAGAAGGTGAACTTGTGCAATCATATGTTTCCATTTTTTTTTAAATTATATATTTTTGACAGCATCTCATTGTGAAATCAAACCAATGGAATGGAGTGTTAACATCTTCGTTCAATTTCTAATGTGAACATGGTATCAACGTAGCCACATTTTGATTACTTACAATCCAATGTGTTGCCATGACTCTTCAAAAACCCAACCAATCGATTACGTGAAAATCGATATCTGTGCTCCCAGTTTTGACATTTCTCATTCCATATTTCTTTGTGTTTGTTTATTTTTCTGCCTGGTCGTCATCGTTGTTGTTGTTCGATTTTGTTTTTGTCTGCCTTACTTTTTTTATCATAGGGGGGCTGAGGAGGTGTTGGGGCCATCGGCGACATACACAGAAAACAAGAAACAACAGAAATAAGAAATCATTTTTAAATTCCAAATTAACGTGAATCAGAGACGAACTCGGAATTCGTTTCATGGTCGTCGGCGGCCGTAACTTCAACTCGAACAAATCTCTTAGGTACGCGAGCGTTTAATTCCATAAATTTTAATTCAATCAATCGTGGAGAAAATTGTGTGCGTGGAATAGCTGAAAAATAAGGCAGACCTTTTAAGAGTGAAAAAAGTTTAAAAACGAAATTAATTGAACTAAATATTATAAGAATTCTCTACATCTCTTGTGGAAAGCTTTCAGTGTCACTAGAAGCAATAACGTCTTCTCAGGAAACCGGATAGAAGTTCCAATTGCTGAAAATGGAGGATTTGGGTAAGTGGTGTGATGAAAATGTACCTTTGTTCTGCCCTCATTTGCAGGGGAGGGTGGGGTTTTGCGTTTTCCAAAAAATAGAAGACCGGTGTTTTTCTTTTCAAACAAACACCACGACTATCTATCTGTTGCTATTGTATATTTGTGCTCTAGTTTCTAATAAGATATGGATGATTTCTGCTTGAAAACTTTTTTCAGGGCCATCAGTAAATGGAGCCAAAAAACATTCATACAAATGAAAAAACAAAAGTAATAAATTTAAGTTAATTTTCTTGGACACATACCTACAGACAATCTGGGCATCAAGCTACTCACACTCTCACACGCCGTGATCCACTCCCAATCTCACGTCATCATATGCAAAGTAAAACAAAACAATTATTGTATCTGACTCTCAAAATGTATCTTTTATCTTTTTTTCGATCTCCCTCTCTATTGCTTTGTATCTCTATTCTCCTTGTTCTTGTCATGATCGTATTCGTTCATTTGTTTTCTAACGTTTGTCTTCTTCTGTGTATCTGCTACAAATTAACCCATGTCAGATGTCATTATTCCCATTAACCCTTGGTTGGGAAATGCCTTTTTTAACTAAAATCGGTGGCTATAATCACCCAACAGAAACCCTTATCTTGTGCATTACTCATTTTTGTTCTTATTGCTGCTGATAATATTTTTCATGCCACCACTTATCCCGTTCATCGTTTTGAGATTATGTGCATGCAGTCACAACAAATTTACCTTTTGTTATCGCCCTGGTCCGTCCCACCGGTTAGCGAGTATGGTGTCACTTTTGAAATTCCTCAAGAATTTCTTTGTTGTTTTTTTTTTTTTTGAGTTTTTCTTTGACAATCCTTGAAGATGACTAATATGATGGAGTCTTCGACACCATTAATGGCAAGGTAAATATGCACACACAAAACAAGACAACGCATAAAATATCCTCATGCATTTCTCATTTTTCGAAAACAATAAAAAAGTGCATCGCTGGTTGATTAAAAATCGATGTAAATTTTGGCTCCCTGTGACAGCATTGGGAAGACTTAACCCCATGTAGGCATTTGGTGTAGTTCGGGGACGCGTAAACTCAATGATATAGTTAATTTACTCAGTTTTGCAAAGAGGTTCCCATATATCAGAGCTAAAAATAATATTTTGTTGATTTTTTCCAAACTCAAATAACAATACACCAAATCATTATACATAAATTTTGGTTTGCTTCGAATATACAATTTCGCTAAGTAAAAATGGTTTATTCTAATAAAAATTAAATTTTTGTCTATGAAGGTCCTCAGTATGAACGGGACAATCCATGTTCTTAAGAAAAGTTCATTAAAGATGTCGAATCAGTTTAACAAAAATATAATATTTTAATAAATTAATTTCTTATTATTATTAATTATCCTTACAAAAAAATCGTTATGCCGACTGTTGGAGTATGTCATACCGACAATTGGCAAGTGGTGCTGTCGACTGGCAAAAAACATTATTTTAATAAAACTCCAAATTTATGAAATGTAATAAAAAGTTATTAAAAATTTATTTATTACTAGCTGGCCCAATCCGCGTTGCAGGCCCGTAGTTTTAGTCTTTAATGCATAGTTTTTAAAGCATAATAATTCACAAATCTGGCTCACATAAGGGGCAAAATTTTTTGTATAAATGATGACTCGACTAAATAGAAATAAATACGTCTTTCAAAAAACCTGATTCTATTTTTAAGTGAGAGGTTTTATTTTTAGAGTTAAAAACATAAATAATATAGCATATATATTAAAACGTATAAATTAACTGTTTACAATAGGCCCATGTAAGATGGTTCTCTACGCCCAAAGTACACACACAAATCAATCAAAAATATAATCAAAACCCTCGAAAAAGGTAAAATCATGAGGTACTTTTATATGAGCCCTTTTTCGAAACATTGACATTAAAAATTTCCGCGAAGAGGACTTCTACCAGAAGCTAGATGCCAAATAAGGGCAAAATCAATTGAAAAATGTGACCAAGACCCTGTTAATAGCAACATTTGAGGAATTTGAAAGGGGCTATATTACAATGTAGACCAACCTGACACATATTTTGAACAAATGATTCCTCATGTAACCCTTAGGACTGTGTCAAATTTAAAATTTTGTCGTTACTTTTCCGTAGTATAGGGCAAAGTATTTGCGGACCTTTGTGTATGGTTAAGCTATATAAAATGGACTCTTTAGATCCAGTAACTCCTCTTTTGGGATTTTTATTTACAAATCGAAAAAAACCGAAAGAGAGCGTCAATACTACGTATACTAACTGTGGAACAGATATCTTCATGATTTTGACAAATATTAGGATTTTCGATAAATCGAAAAAATGGGCGCAAAATTGGGCGTGGTCACTTTTTCTTTGCATAAAAACCTAAATCGGGGTAGGACGAACATTTAATAAAAATATCCAAATAGTTCCTGCCGGTCTCAACTGATTCAATTACCAACGAACAACAATTAGTTTGTATATAGATTAAAAAGTAGGCGTGGCAAGTTCCTCAGCCCCCAAATAAATACTTAGGATTGGAGGGAAAGTCTACAGTATGTCATGTAATAATTTTAAAACCGATATCTTCATTATTTGGCAAATATAAGGATATAAATCGAAATAGTGGGCGTAAAAGTAGGCGTGGCCAATATTTTATTCTTTAAAAACCTAACTCGGGGTATTACGAACGTTTGTACAAGAAATTATGCAAATCGGTTCAGCCGTTCTCAACTGATTCCATTACCAACGAACAACAATTGATTTTTATATATATAGATTGCAAAAGCTAAAAAAATCGAATCTGAATAAATTAACTTTTTAATCATTGAAAACTTCCACTTAGAATGGTGAACGATTGAAAACGCGAAAATCCTAAAAGTGTCTATTACTGGTACACTTATTCTAACTAGCTATCAAAAATAAATAAATAATAGTAATAATGGTAAGTTTTTTGTAAATCGTTTGAAAATTAAATCACAATAGTGCAAAACTACTAATCAAAAATTTTATGGACAAAAATCGCTAAAATTAAAATGCTTATAACTTCGGAAACTAACGATATTTGTCGATTTCATCAAAATTTAAGTTTCAGAATACCACTACTGATATACCCCTTAGTACAAATAAAAAACAAAAGGAATTGCCAGTACGAGCAATTTTTTTCCATTCCCCTTACTTATCTCACTCCTACAAACACAGACTTCCCCGCAAACATTTTTAATAGCCTGGGTGATGAAAACTTCACTTCAAAGCGATTCCTGATAGGAAAGATACAATCACATTCTTATCCAAAAATATAAGAATGACTTAAAAACTGTTCCACTTCTAAGATACTACCTGGCGTAATGCTTTCTTCACTTCTGGAAGTTTCCTAAACGATGAAATTGGAAGTCACGAAAATGTGTTTACTTTGAGTATCTATTACGTTACTGATGCTACTGTCGCTAAACCAACTTCCAGTAGGTAGTATTTCAGAAGTGCAATAGTTTATTTTTTCATTCTTATCTCTTCAGATAAGTATGTGAATCTTTGGCTACTGTAAAATGATACGAAATAATATATTTTTTTAGTCATAACATTTATACAAAAATACATAAATAAAATGTAAAAATTAGTGCTTGGAAAGAAATTCACCGTTTTTTTTTACTAAATTTGCAAATTTTTTAAAAACTTAAAAGAGCATAATATTTTCTGAATATATTTGATTGTACAAATGAATAAATACATTTACATTATTTATTTGTTGTTTTGGGGTTACTCTTCGCAACTCTATCTTGCAGGCAAATTCTGTTCATATCACAGTGTGCCAAAGATTATGTGTTACTCTTGGGTTTGGGTTATTAAAATAGGAAATTTCACCATTTATAAAATTGTAGAAATTAAAATGTTTGAAACTTTCCACGCCAGGTAGCGTCCACTGCTACCCTCTGGATTTTATGCACCAAGTACAAATAGGATTGTATGACAATTGCTGTACGGGTGTTAACAAAACAGCGGAAGGTATTATAAAGTTTAGAAGCAACTATTTTAAGATCTATCTTTGGACAATGAATTATATCAATGTGTATAAACATTAAAATACGTACATTGATCTTCTCGAACGTACTTTTGGTTTATCCCGTTATAATATTAGTTTTATTTGTTTATTTATTCATTAATTTCATACCATAATACACTGAAAGAAAAATCTTCATACCATAAATGAAATCCTACGTTCCGTCAATGAAATTTGTTATTGATTTTGAACCAACGTAGAGGTTCATTGAATGAATGAAAAACGTTTCATTGAGTTTCATTAATGTAAAATTAACGAAATTGTTCATTAATATTATGAAAATTCTTCATTGATTCCGTCAAACACATTCATCAATGCAACAACTTTTCTTCATTAATACAATGAAAGATATTCTTTAATGCGGTGAAAAACATTCATTATCAAAATGAAAAAGTTTCGTGAATGTAAAGAAACTTATTCAGGCAGGCAGGTCAGGTACGAAGATGGGCTATATAGATCCACGATATCGTGTATCACCCATATAACGGTACCTCCCGATATTCGGTATTTTGATTATTTTTCCACAGATTTGTCCAAAAAATGGTATTTGTAGTTCGTAATGGGTTCTAGCTTCTGTGGCGGAACATTGTTGATATAGGTCCATGTCTTCGTATAGCCACATTTTTCAATGGAATTGCTTCAAATTTCGTATTCGAAATTCGTACTAATGCGTATGACAAAAAAAAAAATACTTTTGCAGATCGAGATCTTCGTATCCCCATATAACGGTTTTAATTTAAATGTATTTTTCGACGGATTTTTAAACTTTTTCGATATTCTTCAAAATGGTGGAGGATATTAAAATTTCGGTCACTTTGCTGTTTTTTACTTCTTAATACCTACACCACACTGTGGTACAGGGTATTTTGTCGTTGCGCATTTGTTTGTAAGAAATACGCGAGAAAACCCCTTTATAACTTTCTTTAAAAATTACATTCTGAGTCGGTTTATGAATGCCAGCAAGTCTGACCGTCTGTCCATGTATTTTTATGAAAAAAATGCAGGTCGCCGATATTTTCCAATTGAGATGACATTTTCAATGCATCATTTGTTTGGCCTAGAACGGGATTTGAACCGCGGACCTCTGTGTGCAGCCAACTAGAAGTTGCCGTCTCTACGTTCAGAGCCATTAACCCGTCTTCCTAAAGCAGCACTAAAACAAGTGTATGCATTGGAAGCAATGTAGTTGTTGTGGACAAAAAATCCATCACTACAAAAACAAAAACGTTGCTGTGAAAAAGATCTGCCAATAGAACTTGAGTCGAACCTGAAGAGTTTCTAGTGTATAATTCGCATATGCTAATTTGCAATAAGTTCGAAATATATACTACTTTCCAGAGAACGGCCCTTGTAAGTCATCATCCACATCAAATATGCCTGATGAGCCGCTTAACCAACGGCGAAACGCGTCGCATAGTGGTGAGTGTGTGATAGTGTCTATCTGGCTTTCCTTTTCACTGCAAATTTCAGATCATTAAGCTCGTCTCGAAAGAGAAAACAAACACTTAAATCATAAAACATATGATCTTCGCCTTAATAAGGCAAAACTCGAACTCTATAACGTTTTATTCATTTTCGTTAAATTGGTGCACACATTTAAATATAACAATTCTCACAAATTATACTTTGGTGGCGTGCTTGTTTGTATCAGACATCGTGTTAATATATCATTTTA